CATAATAATCAAGACTCCCAAAATGCTCACTCTGTACTGGGTGCCCTTCTAAGTGCTTTCCATCTGTTAACTCATTTAAGCCTCGACAGCAAGCCTACAGAGTAGATAATAGTATAATCCCCACTTCCCAAATGGGAAACTGAGGCATGGAGCGATTAAGTCGCTTGCCCAAAGTGACCTAGTTGGCGAACTGGTAGGAAGACTCAGTTTCCTCGGAGGAAGGAGCACTGAGGGCAGTGAGAAGTGTGGTGCTGGCCCCCGGGGGTCTTCTGCAGACAGCCTGGCCCCTGGCCACTGTCTGAGGAACCAGTAACAGTCAGCCCCATTTCCTGCCACCCAGCACCCTGCACTTCCTGTTGTTGCCCACACTGAGCTCTTACTCACTGGGGAACCCCCCCCCCACCAGCACACCCTCTTTCAGAGGGAAGTGGAGGCCTCCCCATGTGCGCACAGCTACCGTTAGCACCCCTGCCGCCCCACCCTCCAGGAGAGGTGGGCCCTCCCTCTCGCGGTTTCCGGCCACCAGCCAGTCTTCAGTCTAGGCCCCACTGTCGCTGACCTGCCTGATGGCAGGGAGGGCAGCCTGGCCAGTGATGACTAAAGACAGTCACCTTTGTTGGTCTTGGTAATGGAGACGGGGAAGGGGAGAGGCAGGGTCTGGGCTCCCTCACCTGGAGGGGCTCCTGGATGGGGAGGACCAGATCAGCTCTAACGTCATGCCCTTCCTCACAATGCAGAGTGTTCATTGAGCACTGGCTCTGTCAGGCATTGTGTGAAGCACCCTATTTAATCCCCTCAGCAATCCTAGGAGGCTGGCGTATACCATTATCATTCTCTTTTTACATAGGAGGAAAATGGAAGCTCAGAGCAGTTAAGTAACTTGCTCAAGTTCACACAGGTAGTAAGTGGCAAAGACAAAATTCAACCCCCAAACTTCGTGACCCCAAAGCCCGGGAAGCTACTCTGCCCTTCCCATGAGTAACCCCTGCCCCTCTCAAAGGCCCAAGCCTCCTTGCCTTGCCTTTCCAGGGCTCCATGTTCCCAGGAAAAATGAAGAGGTAGCCTCAAGAGCAGCCCCACCTGCTCCTGCCCATCTCACCCAGCTCTTTGCCAAATGGCCCCAGATGTCACTGTGAATCATGCCTACCACATCCCTGGGTTTCCAGGGTCAGCATGTGCCAGCCCTGCCTGCTGGGAATGTCACCCCTCAGCCTCTGCCCAGCCCAACATCTCACCACATGGCCAGAAGCCCACTGGGATCCTCCATGTGAGACAGCCCAGAGATGAGAGTCATAGGGCCTGAGCGACCCCACAGCTACAAACTTCGTCTGCCCCACCCCAGAGGAGGGAGCTGGTCAAGGAGGCACTGCCTAGGTCACAGGCCGACAGAAGGGAGACATCCACCTCTGCCCTTCACCACCAGGCCCAGAGAGAAAGGGGTCCAGCTGAAAGCAGGACTCCCAGGGTCCACACTCTACTTGGAGGTGTCCTGATGTCCCCATCAGCCTAGCCAAGAGCCCATGTCTCTGGGCACATGCTAAGGGCACCCCAGGGTGCTAGGCCCCATCCAGCAAATTCCTCTCCAGGTGCTTCAGCCTCCTCTTGGACGCCAGCATCAGTCTTGGCCTCAAGCACAGCATCCCTGGCACTTCCCTCCATCCCTTTGCCCCAGGGTTACCGGCTCCTCCCTGCATAGACGATCAGGGGGGTCCTATGCCCAGCCATAAGCATGGACTTCTGGTAGGTTTAGAAAGGGTGCCTTGCTATCACAATCCCTGACCCTGGCAGGAGAGGGCCTGAAGGGGCTGGAAGACACCAGCCTTGGGCATAACGGAGGAGAGGCGAGAGCTCGGAGCCTGACTGGCTGGTTTTCCCACCAGTGTAGCAGGCCCAAGTCGCCGGGCAGCCATCACTCCTCCCCTATTGCTAAGGCAGCAGCGGAAACCCTGGCTCAACCTGCTCTTTCTCCCGCCTCTTTTAAGCAGGGGCACCCCTCTCTCTCACAGCCTCCTTAGAAAAGCAGCCCCCCACCACTCACCCTTGCGTGGGAGAAAGTCTGCCCATGGGGAAAGGGAGAGCAAGCCCCATCTCCTCTCTGGCTATGGGCCTTGGTGGAGGCACCCTCACCCACAAGAGGGGTCCCACAGCCAGGAGCCAAGGAGTGGTTTTGGGTTTCAGGATCCTACTCCACACCAGGGATGAAAGGGCCAAAGGAAGAGGTTCCCTGGGACCATGTGACTAGACCCCAAGGGCAGGGCTGGGCTTCTGGGGGGGTGGGCCCATCACTCTCAGCAGTGGAGGGTCTCTCCTCTCAGATGTTCCCTGAGGACAGGATGCAGCTCTGGCCACAGAGGCAACGCTCAGACGGAGGTGCACCCTGCAATACTAGTTGCCAGGCCTATGGGTTTAGCCAAATCTTTAGCCCTGGGCAGCCTCAGACAGGGGCCACGGCTGTCACCCCAGGGCGTGGCTCCTACCCCTGCTGGGGGGAGTGAGAGAAGCCAGGTTCTTAGCTAAGTGACCTTGGGTTGGGTGCATTCTGCCCACACAGGACAAGCAACAGGCTGATCGCTCCCCAGGAAGAAGGTGAAGTGTCAAACACACTGGGGTTCCTGGCGACTGGGGGGGAGACAGGGAGCCCCACTGGGTGCTGCTGCCCTAGATTCTACCCAGCCACTACCGCCTTCTCCACCAGGACATCCTCTAAGACCCATCTCTAGGCCTCTACCCTCCACGCCCTGGTACTTAGGGACTCCCAGTGGCATTTAGTGTCAGACTCAGCCAATCAGCGCTCAAACCAAAAAACGCAAGCAGGGCAATCAAGTGCTACACATGCATCAGAACCTCGCCATTTGACTTTTGGATTTTCCACTGGTCTGAATTATTCACACAGCTCCTCCCCATTGGTGTGTGTTTAACACATCACCGACTGGGGCCTGGACCGCACCTCCAGAGCCTGTCTCTCCCTCATCCATAGACACACACTTAGGGGGAAAGACAGACCGATGTCCCCTCAATCAGGCTGGCAGGGCTCCAGGGATCCACCACCAACTCAGGCTCCCCAGATGGCCCCCAGAGACTGTCTCTCTTCATTCCCCCCTCCCCCATTTGCTCAGCTCAGCTCAGCTTTGCCAGACCATGGGTTTGGAGAAGGGGGAGCAAGTGGAGAGATGGGGTAATCTGGGCCTAGCCTAGTGTGAAGTGTCCCTCAGAGTCCCTTCTCCTCTACTCAAGAAAGGTGCCTTTACAAGGATAGGCCAGACCCCACCCCGCCCCATAGCTCCTCCAAACCCCTCCAAACCTTTCTCCTGGGAGGGGGCAGCAGACAAGATTTCCAGGAACTATTAGCAGGGGCCATGCAGAGGATCTGGCAAATATGGCCTAATGACTAGCCATGGGAGGGGAAATTATGTCAAGGAGGTGGAGGGGACCGGGAATTGAGCACTGCCACCAGCCAGCACTGCTCTGCTGCCTGCGCCTCCCTCAGGTCCCCACCCTCAGACCTGCAGTGCCAGCCTGCTCAGCCTGGGAAGTGCCTCTGGGAAAAAACACATCCTCATTCACTCATCACCCAGTGTCCAGCAGGGAAGCTGACAGCAGACAGGCCACCAGGCAATTAGTTAGAGAAGGGAGCCTGGGACAGGGCTGAGGCAGGGAGAGGGAAGTGAGAAGGAGTGGCCCTTCCGCCTCCCTACTTCAGCCTCCCATCAGGTCTTAGGGATCCCTGACTTTGCTCTGGAGCCCTGGCCCACCAACACATCCTGACCACCTCCAGGTTCAGCCTGAGCTGATGGGTCCATACCCAGTGGCCTAGTCCCCAAGCCCCCCAATTCCTGGAACAGGTGACAGTGGGAAGAGGGGACTTCCAGACTTTTGCTCCACCCCAAGCCAGAGTCACCAACCCATCCTGACCCCACCCTTCCTAACCTAATAGCTTCGGTGGAAAGGAGGGGATGCCCAAGATGAAGACCCACAGGCAGCCTCGCCCGACATACAGAGGGTGAGAAACAGACAGCCTGTCTGCATGATCTGACAACCCAGTTCCCAGCAGCCTAGGCACCAACAAATCAGGAGCCAACACCTCAACTCCGGCTCCCGCTCCCTGGAGGTGAAAGTGTAACCCCTTCCATCTTTGACCCCAAGACACAGGCAGATGCTCCAGATCCACACCCGGTGGTGGGGCCTGCGGGCAGTGAGGAAGGAGGTGGCGCGGGTACCCCCCTGGCGTGGTCCGCTCCCAACTTCCTCACAGGACATTTTTGTTTAGACCTTTAGACCCAGAAGCGCCAGGAGTGGGTGTCTTGGGGAGGGAGACTGGGAGATTGCAGAAGAAAGTTTGGGGGGGAGAGTGCTAAGTCACTCTGAAAGAAGACACTGTTACTCCCACCCATGGAGGGGCAGCCGCTGGGCCGGGATCTCCAAGCGGTACCTGAGCCCCCGGGGGCGGGGACGCGCGCCGCCCCCCGCCCGCTCCCTGCGCGCAGCGGGTCACACTCACCAGGACCCGGTTAAACCTCTCCTCCAGCTCTCCGGCCGCGGGCATCGGCTGCTTGGGCGCCGCGGGCTGCTTAGGAGACAGTGCGGCGGGGCTCGCAGGCTGCTCCGCGCTGCCGGCCGCGTTGCCCATGGTGGTCCCCACCCAGCCGGCCAGGCGCCTCCAGCCTCGGAAATCCAGCTTTCCGGGGGGCGGGGGACGAGGCTCCCGGCCCGGGGGGCAGGCGGGCAGCGGCTGGCGGCGGCGGCGGGTCGGCGACGCGGGAGCTCGGCTCAGCGGCGCCCAGGGGCCGGGGCGCGGCGTCCCATCGGGGTGGCCCCGTCCGAGGAGCCGGGCGGCGAGCTGCGGGGTGGGGGGAGGAAGTCAGGCTGCAGGCCGCCGGGGCCAGAGGGCTGGGCCGGGGGCAGGAAGCTGCGGCGCGGGCTCCCCCCTCGGTGATTCTCTAACTTCTGCTGTCGCTCCCGGTGCGCGCAAACCGCAGTTCGCCGCCGCCGCCGCTACGCACCCAGCCCCAGGGGGGCGGGCTGGAGGGAGGGGGCGGGCGCCGGGTGCGGGCCCGGGGTCCGCCGGGGCCATGGCGCGCCAGGGAGGGGGCTGCTGCGCCGGTTCACCTGCCGCAGAGGGGGCGGCCAGCGCCGCTTCACCTGCAGGAGCGGGAGGCGACGGAGGCGAGGCAGAGGCGGCGGCGCGCTCGGCGGCGCCTCCGGGTCCTAGAACCGCATGCTCCCGCTGGCTCGGAGCCGGGGGACTGGCGGGGTCTGGGTGAAGGGGGCCACGGCCTGGGGGCAGGAGGGTCAGACTTAGCAATCGGGGGTTATCAACAACTGCTAGCGCGGCTTGAAGACCCCTGACGGTGCAGCGTTGGGGCGCAAGGGCTGCGTCCGCCTCTTGGGTTCCCGACCGAGAAGGTGGGAACCCCCTTCCAGGCCCCCCACCCCTTGTTTCTCTCCTCTGTTTAGCCCAGAGCCGAGCTGAGGACCGGAGGGAACCATCTGCAAATGAGAACCCCAAAGCAGTGCGGAGGGCGCAGATCCAGGCAAGCGGAGACCCCGTCCCACCCTGGACCAACTCTGCACCGGTGCTGGCATTCCCAGTGGTTTTAGAATGGGGACGCCCATGGAAAAAGGCAGGCTGCGAGAATCTGGGGACCACCAGGGCGGTCTCGAGGGGAAGAAGCAGGGGTTGGGGAACGGAGGATTAAAGCCAGCATCCAGGCTGGGAAAGGAGCAGGCACCGCAGAGGGGGAAAAAATCTCCTTGACGCTGTCACCTCCAGGGACCTAGGGTGGCCTCTCGACTTGGAGAATAACAATCGCTGATGCCTGGCAATTACAGCAATACTTCCAGAGGTCTTCCTTCATTCATCCTGACAATGACCAGGAAAGGTAGGTATTGATATCCTCATTTTAGAGATGGGGAAACTGAGGCTCAGAGTGGTTAAGTGACTTGGGCAAGGGCACACGGCTAATAAAGGGCAGAAACAGATCTCCTCTCTGTCTACCTCCAAAATCTACACTGCCTTGGAGCTGTTGTCCTGGCCTGCCTCCCCCCCACCCCCAGGTCCCTCTCATCCAGGGCCGACCAGAAGGATGACAGAGTATTGCGGCGTGTAGAACCCCAGGTCTGGGCACAGTCTCTAACCTGAATTTGAGGCCCTTCTCGTTCAATTGCTCCTCTCTCCCCCATTTAATTTGTGGGGATCCCCAATTGCCCTTCCCTGCACTACCAAGGCACCAAGGAGGGAGGGTCTCCTAAATGAGCCCTGGATTTTCCGTAGGCCAGGCCAGGGACCATAAGTGCCCCCTTCCCCCGTAGCTTCCTCTTTCTCCCGCCCTTCTTCTCAAATTCAGAACCACTAACAGGAGTTTAAGCAGGAGCTGGGAAGTTTATCCAATTTTAAGGAAGGCCCTGGGATGAGCCAGCCCTTCCCCTAGACTGACCTGATTTAAGCTTTTCTTCTGCCAAGGTCACCAGCACCACTGGTGGGTGAGGGATGTAGTCATTTATTTCATGTCCCAGCCAGGGGCCCATAAGGTAAGACAAAGAAGGATTTTCCTCAGGTGCACTAAGAAGTGGTCCGTTCCCTGCCCGCCATCCTCCTCTCCAACCTGGGACAGACTAGTCTTGCCCTTGGGTTCTTGTCCTTGAGCTTAGCTAGGACCGCTCTCTCTCTTCTTTCTTTTTAAAGAATTTAGTCCCCGATCCCCTCAACGGCTGTCTCTTTCCATTTAACAACAAACCTTTACTTAGCACCAGCTGTGTGCCCAGCACTGTGCTCATTCCTGGAGATTCTGTGGCAGATGAAAAGGTCCCTGTCCTTGGGCCGCTCCTAGCCTACCACGGGGCAGACTCTGAACACATGTGGGAGAGTGGCTGCTGCCAGTCAGCCTGTGCAGCCATGGCTTCCTGCTTCCTCTTGCCCAGAACTACTCCTTTGAACAGGTAGGAGAAGGGTGGGAGCTGTACCCCTGAATATCTGAGCGGGGTGGGGAGCCTCTAATACAGTCACTGCCAGCTTGCGCCACCTGGGGGTGCTCAGGCCATTGCCAACCACCACCCGTGGAAATACGGCTGGGCTGAGTAGGACCTCTTGTGTGGAAAATGATCAGCTCAGCCAGCATTCTGTCTCTCTCGTACTGATCAGAACTATGAGGTACACAAAAATGGGAGAAAAAGTAATCAATTATTACCTAATAGATTTAGTTGGCATGGGAGGAGGTATCTTTCCAATTACAGTCCACAGAGGAAAAAATCCTAGAAGGGATGCTTGGTGAAGTTTGGAACCAATGCTGTGGTGGGTCTGTGCTTCCCCCTGCTGGGCACAGGAGGTATGACAGCCAAGACAGGGCGACGCCTCCCGTGATGATAGAGATGGAGTCACAGCGTGGGTGACATTTTTGGACTGTTGTTGCCTTGTCATCTTCGATGGAAGGATTGTGCCGTCACTGGGGACAGTCAGAGCTTGAGTGACTGAGCAGGTTTCCCCAGGAATTTCCTCACTCCCCCTTCCTGCTCACCATAACTCAGTTGGTGCCTTTTTTTTGTTTTGAGGAAGAGTAGCCCTGAGCTAACATCTGCTGCCAATCCTCCTCTTTTTGCTGAGGAAGACTGGCCCTGAGCTAACATCCGTGCCCATCTTCCTCTATTTTATATGTGGGACGCCTGCCACAGCATGTCTTGATAAGCAGTGCCATGTCTGCACCAGGGATTCGAACCGGGGACGCCGGGCCACCAAAGCAGAATGTGCGAACTTAACCACTGTGCCACCAGGCCAGCCCGTGCCTCTTTTAAAATATTTTAAAAAGTAACACATGTGCACAGTTTAAAAGAAAAACAGTTTTAATGTATCTTTACAGAGATATTTTGGGCATATGTAAACAATGTGTGTGTATGTGTGGTTTTGTGTGTGTGTTTGACACAAATGATAGCTCCACGCTGTTTGGCTCCTTGCTATTTTCCCTCAGTAACACAGCTGCCTCTACAAAGCCTACATAGTCTTCCATCATATGGGTGCATCTCAATTTATTTCAGTTTCCCCTCCTAGTGGATATTTAGGTTGTGTCAGCCTTTTGTTACTACAAACAATGCTGCCCGCAGGACATATCTTGGTACATATCTTTGCTTGCATTTATGTGTATATCTGTAAGGCAAATTTATAAATATGACATTGCCGGGTCAAAGGCTATGCACTTTTAAATTTGGGATAGGTTTTCATGGATTTGCCCTCCAAAAAGCTTGCACCGATTTGCAACCCCCCACGTCCTCACTAACAGGGCATTATCAAGCCTTTGGATCTTTGGTGAGGCCTCTTTGAAAGTCTTTGTCATGAGGCAGGTGACGACCTATCTCTTTCTTTCTCCAAGGCAGAAACTATGTCTTTTCCATCCCTGTATCCCCAGCACAGGACGTAAATATTGAGTGAAAGTAAACAGGGCTGCATTGTGGCAGGCCTGGAGGGAGGGAATAGACAGTTAGGTTTGCGTAGGAAGTCTGTCCTTAAGGGCCACTTTCCTTTCCAGCCCCTGGTCAAGCCTCTGCCCCAAACCCAAAAGCTCTCCTCTTGCAGGAGCCTCCGGGATTTCGAGATCTGGGGTCGAAGGCCAGCATTCTGAGGGCAGCCCTCACTCAGCTCTCTTGCATCCCAGGGATGGAGCTCATCGTCACTGAACTGCCTACATACAGACCAGAAATAAACTGAGTGTTCAGCTATAAGGGATTGGCTAAACCAGCAATCCAACCAATAGAACTTTCTGCAATAATGGAAATGTTCTCCATCTGTGCCATCCAATATGGTAGCCCCTAGCCACATTGTAGCTACTGAACACTTGAAATGTGGCTAGTACAGCTGGGGAAACGAGTTTCAAATTTTACTTAATTGTTATGAAGTTCAGTGTAAATAGCCATATGTGGCTACTATATTGGACAGTGGAGGGTTAAATGAACTATGGTATATCCCCACAATGGAAAACTATGTGGCTGTTAAAAAAAATGAGGATGCCAGGTACTGATGTGGAAAGATCGCCAGGGTATATTTTGAAGCAAAAATATGGTGCAGAACAATATGTATAGTACATAATTTTGTGTATGAGAAAGGGAGGTGGAAACAAGAATAAATGTCTGTATTTGCTTGAATTTGCATAGGGGAAGTAGTAAAAGTGGTCACTACCAAGGTGCTGGGGAAACAGGGTGGACAAAGCAGAGGTGGGAGCATTCTCAGTGCATTTCTTTCTAAACCATTTGATTTTTGAACTACACGCATTTGTTACTTATTCAAAAAGTTAAAATAAAATAAAAGCAAGGTTTTCGTCGTTTCCCAAGGAGGGCTGCTCTGTCCCTCTTGTGGGCAACTTGTGGCAGGTGAGGAAAGTAGCCCCACTACACTCTCCTTTCCTTTTTTTTCTTTAAATGATTTTTTTTCTCCCAAAATCCCCCCAGTACATGGTTGTATATTTTAGTTGTGGGTCCTTCTAGTTGTGGCATGTGGGATGCCACCTCAGCGTGGCCTAATGAGCAGTGCCATGTCCGTGCCCAAGATCTGAACCAGCGAAACCCCGGGCCGCCAAAGCAGAGCGCGCAAACTTAACCCCTTGGCCACAGGGCCGGCCCCATACACTCTCCTTGCTATGGGACCCACCGGAGGACAGCCCAGCGGAGTCAGACAGACAATGCCTCGTGAGCCACACCCTAGGTGACACAGGTGCCCAAGCCTGGCTGTGCATCAGAATCAGAATCCCAGGGGAGGTGGAGTGAGGGATCTGCACCTTTTGTGATCCCCCACGTAGCTCTCAGGCAGACACTGAACTATCCTTGCCAACACCTCCCAGTGAAGAGAGGACAAGCTCCTAGGACCAGGCACATGTCCCTTCCCTGTAAACAGCAGTGGTCACCGATGTCTCCCAAGCACCAACACCACAGCAGGCACGAAGGCAGAAGATTTGCACATGTCTTTCCAAGCTGGACAGCAGCCTTGCAAGGCAGGCTGCATCACAGTGCCCTCTGAGCTCAGTGTCCTCTTGAGTGGCTGATTTACCCAAGGTCACACAGGTGGTAAATGTCAGAGCTAGGATCCAAACCCTGTCGTAAACCCCCCAAGCCTTGGTTTTCTCATTCTGAAAAAATGGTGATAGGATTTCATAGAATGGTTCTGAATATTTAAAAAAAAAAATCCTGTAAAGGGCTTAGCAGAGACTTTTATTTCCAGCAATAAGGTGGACTCTATTTCCAGAGAAACTCTTCTGATACAAAATAGGTAGAAATGCTTGATAGAAGATAAAATGTGTGTGTGTGTGTGTGTGTATGTGTGTGTGTTATTTTCAATGCAAGGCTGAGCTGGCAAGAAAAGAACAAGTCCCAAAGGCACAAATCCAGAAAAGAACAAGACAAAACCCGGGACTTCTTAAGGTAGGAGGTTGGATCAGAGACAGTCTGCCCCTCGCAAAAGTTGAGGGTGCCTTGGATAAACTTAAAAAAAAATCCACCCTGCAGAGAGATGGTAGGATACTTGCCTGCCTCAATCTATCAAGAAGATATAACCATCCAAAAGTTGTATGCACCTAACAACAGAGCCTCAAAATCATAAAGCAGAAATAGTGGGACAAATAGACAAGTCCACCAAGGTAAAAGAAGATTTAAATCACCTCCCCCTGGAATTGGTAGTTTAAACAGACAAAAAATTCAGTAAGGATGTAGAAGATTTAAACAATACAATTGACAAGCTTAATCTAATTGAATATTTTTGAATACTCCAATCAACAATTGGCAAACACACTTTCACTTTCAGGCACACGTTTACAAAAGTGGCCACATATCAGACCATAAGGCAAGTCGCAACCAATCCAAAAAAATCTTACAGACCTCATTATCTAACAGCAATAAAATTACACTAGAAATCAATAATCAAAGACAACATAAAAAGAAAAGGCAACCCCACACATTTGAAATTGTCAAAATGCACTTTTAAATAATCTATGGGTTGAAGAACTCCTAATAGAAATTAGAAAATGTCTAGAACAGAATATACTATGTATAAAGTCCTCAGCACGTACTGCTCTAAAAATGGAAGTGAGGGAGATGAAGATGCAGCGATCACTAGGGGAGGTGAGGGGGGGTGTCTGAAGGACAAACTTGGCACTGGTCAGTTCTGAGGTCAAAGGAGTAAAGACTGAGGATTGAGTCTGAGGTAACCATGAGTCTGGGAAGGGGGCACCCAACGGATGAGTTACAAACCACAACCCTGTGAGTCGGGATTATTCTGGTCCAATTTCCTAATGAGGCCACTGAGGCTGCTAATGGTGAGATAACTCAAGTCATCCGGTTAGAAAATGACACAGCCAGGATTCAAATTCAAGTTGGCCCTCTCACTTTTCATGGTGCCCCCCAGGGGCATCTGACGGAGGTAGGGACGAGCTTTCTCGTTAATCTCAGATATTAAGTGTGTTAATCTCTGAAACAGTCTGCCAAAGAGGCATTTAGTCCCCTCTCAAGCTCTGGGGTGGCTGGCAGAGCAGAGAAGCCATGAACCACAGCTGTCACCTTTGTTGGTTTGTGTGTCTGTCTGTCTCAACCAGCTCTGCTAGGCCAGGCAGAAGTGAAAAATGTTGTCTGTCTTTTCAGGGCCCTGAAGCCCTCACAAACTAAGGCAGGTGAGTCCCCATCCAACTAGCGGCCAATTGGAATGAGGTACACAGGTGCCCAGAGCTGTGAGCTGAGAGGAGAGGGTGGGCTGAGGGAGCCACCGAGAGTGCCCAGGCCCATCCGCTGGGCCAGGGGCCACCTGCAATGAGCAGAGCCTTGTGCCTGGCATACACCAAGTGTTTAATGAATGCTGACTGAAGGAGCATTTACGGAAGACCTGCTGAATACCAGGCATTGTGCCTGTGTAAAGGTCTCATTTAGTTTGATCCTCACAGCAACATGCCGAGGTTGGTGTTATTAGTCCCTTTTTTCTTTTTTACAGATGAGGAGACCGAAGCTCAGAGAGGTTAGGTGACTTGTCCAAGGTCAAGAAAACGGCAGAGCAGAGACAAGACCCAGACCTGGGGGCCCAGCTCTCCCTGCCGTTTCCCCTAGACGAGAGACAGCCAGGTTTCAAAGGTCTCTCTCCTAGCCAGCCAGGTCAGAGGCCACGTGATGAAAGCCATGATAGGGGTGAGGCCTTGGGCAAGCAGCTGGACCTCTTCACTCATTATTCAGTAACAATTTATGCTGGGCCAACAACACACCAGGCACCGGGGAAGAGAAGAGAATAGACCTCCACCCACCCAGGAAGACTCACAGCGGAGAGTGGGGGGCATGAGGGGAAGAAGAAACTAACCCCAGCCCCACCCCTGACATTTATGGGCCCAGGACCAGAAGTCAACTGGAGCCCACTTACAACTCATCTAAATATTTAAAAGTTATAAATCAAGCCAACACAGATAAATAAATTCTATCCTCTTACCCTGGTAAACAGACCTTCAAGAGGCCCAGAAAGCCAAGTTCAAATAAAAAATTCTAGCACTACAGCTCTGCACTGGAATATAGCAGTTCAGAGAGAGTGACCTCTTCCCTTCGTGCTCCCGGCTCTGTCCTGCCCTAAGAGGAGCCACAATCCACACACATATTCAAGCCCCCCCCCCACACCCATAAACAGCATCCTTACCCACCGTACACCTAGGGCTGTGCGCACCAGCCGCACAATCCACCCTTGGGAAAACAAACCTGGGCCATAGACTGTGCAGGCCCCGGAAGCAGGCTTGGGACTTTCTGGGCAGGGGGGGCATCCAGGTACCTAAGGCATGGTCAAGTCCTGTGCTGTCCAATATGGTAGCCACGAGCCACATGTGGCTATTTAAATTTTGCTTTAAACTATTAAAAATTAAATAAGATTAAAAAATTCAGTTCCTCAGTCGCACTGAGACACACTTCAAGTGCACAAAGGCCACATGTGGCTCGTGGCTACCATATTGGATGGTGCAAATAGAGAACATCTCAGTTATGGCAGAAAGTTCTATTGGACAGCGCTGGTCTAGAAGGTGAGGCAGGGCTTCCAGTGGGCTCCTCGCCCTGTGGGGAGGGATAGAGCCGGAGGAGGCCAGAGCCAGACCCCTCTTGCCCAGATGTAAAGGCAGAACTACCTGAGGATGTCAGGAAGTCTTCACAGAGAGGGTGACATTTGATTAATTGATCAAATTAGGGGGAGGGAGGTGAATGGCTGTTCAGAGAGAATAGCTTGTACAAAGGTCCAGTGGCAATGACCTGTAGGGAGACACACAACAGATTAGGTATGACTGGAATGAAGTGCATGGGACGAGGGGGGGAGGGTGAGAGTCTGGAAGGACGCACAGACCCAATCCTCAAGGTCCTGGGGCACATACTAAGGATATGAGACCTGAGCCTGGTGGCTGAAGGGGTCAGGTGGGGCAGGACCGCACATGATCAGCTGGGGACATCAGAAAGAGAAGGAAGATCTGAAGACCAGTTAGGGATTTCCAATCAAAACAACAGAGCAGGAAAGAGAGAAGCAGAGGGGAGGGAAGGGAGAGATTTTTCAGAGGGAAAACATGGCTTTGATGTAAGGGTGAAAAATAGCTCGTGTTGGGAGTGCAGATGGCAAAGAGATGGTGGATCACAACAGGGACAAGGACAAAGGAGGAGTTATGGGTTGGGAGAGAAGTAAACAGTTCCACTTGGGATTCCTAGAATCTGAGAGGCATCCATTGGGCCAGTCCAGACAGGAGGGTGGAGATGGACAGGAGTGCTGGCCTCCTGAGTTGGTGAAGAAGGCAAGGGCTGTTGAAGCCACTGCAAGGCTGAGCTCTCCCAGGGAGGCGAACGAGTCCAGGCCCATCTGAGGACAGGAATTGCGAGGATGTCTCCCCGCGGCGTGGGGAGGCCACAAGAAGCACCAGGACCTGCAGATTTCCCTGGAGAAACCGCCTCCTGCAGGCACCAGAGAGCGTTCTGTCATTTGTTGATGAGGGGGAGGTGGGCGGAGCCTGGGGAAGCACCGCCCTGGGAGGGTTCAGGAAAAAGGGTGAGTCCCACGCTCTGGAAGGAGGTCAAGAGGGTAAGGACTATGAAGACGATGGAGTTGAGCAATCAGGGTGTCCCTAGTGGCCTTCAGAAAGAAGAATGTTTTCACCAGGAGCAGC